CCAATATCTGGAAATCTGCAGGGGCGTTGCTGATATGAGATGCCCACAGTTGACACAGATCCCAAGGTAAATAAGTGGATAAAGGGTTTATTCTCGAATTTATCGAGGCATTTCAACTCAGGCATAAACAAAATTTACAGGCAGTTATGTTTCACACCAGTTACGTTGCTAGGTGTGTAATCGGCGGTGGCCAAATTTGTACAGGCTGCGGAAATTGAAGTGGTAGCAAATGGTGCTTGCTTCCGCTTAGAGACGGAAAGCCCATGGGGTGGCGCTCCCAGTCTGAGACTCTCGGCATCTACTTATTACATTAGCTCCAACTGCGATGCAAGCGGCGGTGTCGCAACAGGCCCGCTGACCTACTTTTGGAAATGTACCGCCCAACGGGCTAGCCGACCACGCTGGGAATGTAACAACGGTCCAAAATTCTCGGCAATTGTCTCCAAAACTGATGGCTTTCTCGGACAGCAATAGCACTCGGGGGTTCCACCCAGTTACTATGGCAGCAGCTGTGCCAACTCAGCAGCAGTCCATCATCCATAAGACGGGAAAGAAGAGAGAGAAAGGGAAGAAAAATAAATAAATAAATAAATAAATAAATCTTTTATTCTCAACAAGGTGAAGCACGCCTTTACAGGCATGATCATTTTGCCATAACGATGCATGATCAAGAATATGCAAAATTCCGGTATGTTTCCCATAGCAGTTTGTGTTTGTGTAGGGGGTATGTATGTATGTCATTGTGTGTGTATGTGTATGCAGCTGTGTATTTTGTGCTTGTAGTTGTGCTGCTCCAATCTTCAATGTTTGACATCATCATCAATATTGCGAGTAGGAGATTGGTGTTCCGTGGGTTGGATGGCATTATCCGGTTAGCCACGGGGCAGTGACTTTATTTTGTGACGAGTCACGACCGCCACGTCACAGTGTTGTTAAGCAGACATTTGTGGCTTTTTATAGGGAGAACGCTTGCCAGGCGAAACCCACCACGTCCTGAAACACTGCCGCCAAACTATTTGCTGGAACGGGTTAAACCCGAACCACCCAGCTGACACCACGAGGAGGTTGTTCGGCTAGCCAGCCAATAAGAAGAGTGAGGATTGTCGAACTGATCCAGAGCACAGAGGTATGTCTTCAGCTGTCTATTCCGATACAGTATTTGCTTCCAAGTGCCCTGCACTAGCCTTTGCCATGACAGTCTGTACGGCAAGGCAATGGAAGTTATCAAGGTTCCCTTGAGCTAATCCATCCGGACCTTTAGATCAATAGCTTTACTAGCTGGATCAAAGGTTGCCAGGCTTAGGGCGGAAGGTAGCAAACCATTGAGCATCCCAAGGTGCACTCCACCGTCAGAGACACTGGGGTATTAGCTGTTGTATTAGCCAGCCCAGCTATGAGCTTATACCCCATGGCCTGCTGTTTAAAACTTACAGTGCCACCTAACTCTCGCTGAAGGCTGAAGCATACGAGTTTGCGACTGAGTTAGTCTGACAACTAACAATTAACTCGCCCGGTATAAATGCCACTGAAGGCACTTGGCAACTGCCACCCTGCCTATTAATATGAAAGCCTAGATATCCACGCGCTAGTTGACTCTAGTTAACCGCCGAGGAAATGTCCCAGCTGATTCGAGTCAGGATGAAGTGCGCCCTCCAGTCAGTTGACAATACAAGCAAAGCCTAGGCAGTGGCCGTGAAGCCTGGCGGTCTTGCGTGCTTCGGAAGCGCAGACCCCTGCTCTCTCTGCAACTAATCGCAAGCTCTTCTAGATCATTCGATCCACAAACCACAGAATGATCGGCGTCAAGGAGACAAAGTGCGGAGCGGAGGGTTCGTCGATCGACAACTTATGGAGACACTTGGACTGATGGGCCAAACATTTTCCCTCCCAGTTCAGTTGGCCCGCACACTCCAATTATATGCCCTTCCAACCCAGCTGCCTTATCTGGGTGGTCACACATAATCCACCCGGTGGAGTTGAAGTTTGTCATGCAAACTGACACCAAAGACGATTCAAGGCTGCCGGCTCAGACAGAAATCCTCCGGAGCTCTTCAAATATAGGAGCGCAGTTCGCCTTATACCTGTTAAACCCCAGTTTACTCAAAAATCTGGCCGAAGGAAAGGCGCCATTTTCCTGGGTCAAGTCAGTTATTATTCAGCTTTTTAAGTAGGGTACTGGCGCTTCGTGTGCCAGACACCGAGGAATGGTCTCATTTCCGTCGCGTCCGAGCTACTAAAGTTCATTCTAATCCGCAGCTCATCTCTCATTCGTGTTTCGCGGTACCAGGACGGAGGAGCTGGCTCCTGAGCTAGCCGTGGAACTTCGGAGCATAGATTTACACCTCGTCAAATCCTGTAACAGCAACACCATTACCAGAAGGCTACCATTGTTGCATACCTGGACCTCTGTGCCTCAGTCGAGTTGTACGCCTTTATACACACTGCACGCCATATGTTGGGCTGATGCTCAGCCACGCTTTGGTGACGTCTGAACGCACAACAGCAGAAGAATAACTACACATAATCATCGGCACCTAAGGGAGTGCCGTAAGTGATGTCACCTACAAAGTGTGGTGGCAAGGAAAAAAGTAGATCGAAACTAGACCATACTGTGGCGTCGATGGAGAGATGAGGTCCATGAACCTATGCAAAGAGATTTAAGGCGTAGTATCAAGCGGAATTGCACCGAAAGTGCCTAACATCGTTATAAGAACGATCTGCCGAACAAACATCGGATCAATTGAAAGCACCCGGTATTAAATACCTATTGGCGGATGGGAAGCGAATGAAGTAATGCACCTCTTTGGACGCACCCCAGGGTTTCTATAGCTCATTACAACAGTAACTTGAGCCGAGGAAGTGGTAAACGCTACCGGAAGAGCGTTGACAGTTATTCCTGCCGAGAGAAACATGTAGGTACGCAGAACACTGAATGTACAGCTGACATAAAGCGTAACGCTCTCGCCTTGTCGGCCAACGAAGCAATCGCGTCTACATAGTGAGCAGCCAGAGTGATGTACTCCACCGTCTATGGTGTGCAGAGACAGCCTTCTTTCAGTGCATTCATCTACAAGCAGACGTATCTCTACCTTTTATTGATTAGGCTGCGCGCATTGCTTACCACTAGGTACGCGTTTCGCAATGATTAAACCTTGCCGCTACCAGGCATAGCGGCAAAGGACAGCCGGCTGACCACCTGAAGGCTCACCTACCGGACATCCTTAAACTAAACGCTCGCCCGCGTCTGGGGTCCTTCCACGCCAAGTTCAGCATTAACCTATCCACTAGCAGGTCCGAAAGAACATTAACATTATGGCCGTGCCATTTGAAAGCAAAGCGCAACAACGCGCTGCGTTAACTCAAGGTTTATAAAACTCCACACGAAGTAAGTGTGGTCCAAGATTTTGCGCGTTAACCGAGAGGCACTCCAGCGTAGTCAGTTTCCTTACAGCAACGCGGTGAAGCGCAGGCGGAAGAAACTTATTTGGGAATAGTTTTAAACCAACGTACGTCGTCCAACAAGCATTCAGCAGCAAGCGTGGCAGCGGATAACATTGCGTTACGGGTAACAACCTGTTATCCATACCTCAACAAGCGTTGTTGACATTATGGGGCAGCGCCGATTCACTAACAGAGTTCTTCTGCCTATTTGGCTTCAGCAAATGAAGATTGCTAGAGCCCACAGGTGGCACTATCAACTAGTCTATCTTACTATCAAGAGTCGCTAACGCAGTGGTGACCGCTATTATTGAATTCCCCAAATTTGTAGTCGCGATCGAGGAACCCATCTAACCCAGCCGGTGTCCACGAAAACTGACGAGGAGAAAAAGAACGGTCGCTGGTAAATAGCAAGGGGTACGGTTTACTCGTCAGACGGGTGCACTTTTACCCATACCCCCGGTTGCGGTAGTCCCAGTATATAATGCCAGGTTCGTCTGTCATCAGTAACGCGCAGGCTGAGCTGCTACAAGCGGCTTTATAATCTACGCCCGCACAAAGGTATGATGGAACGGAGACTATAAAGTGGAAATCAGCAGAATTGTAACGCGTATAAGCGGTAAAACGATTAAAAACTTAAAGCTAAAAACGGGATAAACGGGTTAGTAGACCGCCGGTAAGCGCCACGTAAACGCTCGGTGCAATACCAATCTCATCGGCCAAGTTGTCTCGAAACACAACGAAATTGATAAACGTCAAAATTTGTTTCTCTTGTTTAACCAAACCCTGTATTCCGCAATATTTCAGCTAAATAGTTATTAGTAAAGCACGCCAAAAATTACGCTTGCCGCGTCGAGGCCAGTACCGGAACAACTTGTCACAGATTATCTTATCGGCAACATTCTCTTATCAGTTCTATTTTTAATGGCTCAAATAACTTGGGTTTCTACTTGCTTAGCTCTTTCCACTTTCTTGCATTCTGGGTTTATTTCCTGCTATTTCTTACTTCACGTAACCGGCCCAGCAGGTACTGCTAGGGCAGGATACTTGGGCATTAGTTGGTTGGACAGGGTGTGATGCTGCCTTTGTTTTTGGTCCATCAATAGTTCAAGGTCTGCCAACTCATGGCACAACGACCTGCTGAAGTAAAAACATTCACGGGGTGATCCTACCGTTCCAGTCCCACTTGAACTTCAACCGTCAATGCATACAATACCACGTGCCGCTTTCCACGGGATGCATAATGCTTGGAATGCACGCAGCGGAATTTCACATACAGGCTGCTAAAACACTAACGAATAGTTTAACAGACTGTGTGGCTCATTATTATGCACCACGTTCCACTTCTACAGCGCTCATCTAGCGACCAAAAAGCATACGACATACTATACGGCAGGGTCATCCAACGTGGCGAAAGTTAACCAAATAAGCCTCGTCGCTTTATGGCCATTTCAAACAATGCGCAACAGGGGATCAAGGCATGCATATGGCATACAGCGGCAACTGATTCATTTTGAAGTCAGCATTCCATTTCAATGAACTTAATCCTGATTCATGCGAGGGCGCACATCTTAGCTGGTGTACCCGAATGCAACACCCCGTACGGCTTCTTTTCCTTTCAACAATCAGCCACTACCTTTGATCACGGTTTGCCTCATCTGACTCAATGTATGGTCTACAGTCTTAATGAAAATGTAAAATGACGCGTGGAAATAATTTTGGCCGCTATATATCTTGAAATCTCCGATCTCATTTCTTACATAAGACTATGTCCGGGGACCAGTGCGACGAAAGTACGTTATTTTATTTGTTCTCCCCAGCTGTAGTTGGTAATGAACTTTTCCGATTTGAAGATGGGGGTTTGGTTTTGTCAGATAACGACGTAAGTGCGGATGCTAAAAACGGCTTGGATGACGGCATTGCTCTAAAAAAGAGTAGACGCAAACAGACCTTTGAAAGACGGAATATAAAGTGAGTGCCATAGTTCTCGCTCAACATCGCTATCAGGGAGGTACGAGACGATTCCCTCAATGAAGAGGCCAGAGCAGCTCAGTTGGCTGAATTGGAGCGCCGCAAGCGTTTAGGCATTGATAATAGCGACCCAACCAGATTTTCCAATATTGAATTTTTACTCAACGGTTAGTTCAGTATTGTAATCAGTTCATGTGCATTTGGCTATTAAACCGTCCGTTTTTCGGGAACCAGTCCACGGTTCCTTTTTTCGAGATATATGCCTAACATGGTTCCCGAAGGGTGCGATCATGCGCCACAAATTTGCTGGTGGCTAAGGAAAAATGGTCAAAATTCTTAGATGCCGGTAAGCGTCTGGATGCTATGTTTTTTGATTTCACTAAGGCTTTTGACAATGTCCCGCATGGGCGACTCCTCTTCAAACTCCGGGGAATCGGAGTCACTGGCAGTTTTGTTTCTTAGATCTCTGATTTCCTAGACGGTCGCTCCATGCAGGTTAAAGTGAACGAATCGCTTTCTGATCAAGCTCTCATGACCAGTGGGGTCCTCCAGGGTTCTGTACTCGGCCCCCGGACTCTTCAATATCTTTATCAGCGACCTGCCATCCGAACTGCAAACCGACTGCTTAATCTACGCGGATGATCTGAGGCTGTAGATTGAGGTATCCAGTCTGGAAGATGCAGACAAACTTCAAGCGACACTCGATCTGCTCCACGATCGGTCACCAAAGTAACAATTGCCCAATAGCCGTGGCAAATGCGTTGTCCTTCCAATCGGTGCTCCTGAGCCTTTTGGGGCTTGCCATCTCGGGGGTTTCTTGCTCAGAAATGTCAACCAAAAGAGGGATCTCGGGGTGATTATGCCTCCTGATCTCAAATCAATCGAGGACACTCGGAAGAGGGACGCATCCGCCTACAGAATGTCACGCTATACGGAGGGCCTTTTCACGCCTGACCCCAGCGCTCTTCAGTCTACTGTTTGCTTCGCATGTGCGCCCAGTTTTCGAGTACGGATTGCCTGCTGCGTATCTCACCAAGTCCGAACGTGACATGATCGAGAAGGTTCAACGGCGTGGATCCAAATCCGTTTCAGAGTTGCGGGACTTATCTTACCCTCTGCGGCTTCAACGGTTGAACCTGTTCCTTTGGATTATCGTCGCCGCCGCGGAGATATGTTATTCACTCGGCGTATTCTACAAGGTGAGCTGGGGAGTGAGCTGCAATCGTTCTTTCGTCTCAACACAAGGTGTGCAATTCGAGGCCACCGGTGGAAACTTTTCAAACCCCGGCGACTCCGTGTGCGGTCCGATCTGGCCCTGTCTATCCGGGTAGTGAATGACTGGAACAGCTTGCCGGAGGCCGTCGTCGATGCGGAGACAGAGGAAAGTTTCAAACGTCTGTTGGATTCCCACTCTGAGTGCGCAGGGATTCTGCTGCCCACAATACAACCATAGCGGTATTCTGCGGAACCTTGTTCCGCAATGATCCCAGCAATCCGCAGCGTTCGGGAAGTGATGGAGCTGACAAACGAGTTTCCTGCTCTCTACCAATCAATGAACCAATGTTTCAACTGGATCTTATTTCCCCCTCTTCGCCTTCGTTTTGGTCCTTGATCGTTTCTCATTTTCATCATCGACCTGTGAGCAGTGCAACTTCCGGTTCGCGGAGCACGTGCGATTCGAAACACTTCCTAGTCAAGGCATTCCAGATTGACGCTCTGCAGAAGCATGGTAGTCGCATGTAGATATTGGTAATATTTTGGAAATCCTTGATAGCTAATCCCAAGAAGTTTTTTTGCTTACGTTAAAAGACGCAGCAAGGCAAAACTGTCTATACCAGCGTTATTGCGAGCAGACAGGACCCGTGCGCAAACTGACTATGACAAAGCTTGTATACCTAGTGATCAGTATACTGGGGTCTTCGTTTGGGAGACCTCTTTACCACAGCTTGAATTGGTTTCAAGAGTTCCCGAGCATACTTGCTTAGCTGAGTTTAACGTAATGGATAATCAGGTCTACGAGCTACTGCAAGGCACCAATCCCTCTAAACCTTCCAGTCCTGATTCAATTCATCCGAAGCTGTTGCATGAATTGGCCACTGAGCTGAGTGGTCATCTCACATGCGTGTTTTCAATATCGCTTGACAGCTGCATCCTACCTTCGGAATGGAAAGAAATAATCATCTGTCCGATTTTTAAGGGCGGTGACAGCGCTCTGCCCGCGAACTACTGGCCTGTCAGTTTGACCAACGTAGTAGTCAAGTTGTTTGGAAAGCTGATGCGGGATTCAGTGGAGAACCACCTGAATAGATTCAACCTTCTCATTGTTGCGCAATATGGATTCTGCAAGGGATTTCCATGTCAGACTTATCTACTTGTAGCTCGTGAAAGTTGGGCCGATGCAGTAGACAGTGGCCACACTGTAGACGTGCTATTCGTGAACTTTTCGGAAGCTTTGACACTGTTCCACATCTTCCACTCTCACTAAAGTTGAAATCTTACGGTATATCTGGTCGCGCCCTTCAATGGGTGTCTGCCTTCCTTGAGGGGAGGGAACAGTGCGTACGGGTGGGGCGTAGTCTTTCGCTCAGGCAAGCTATCCTTAGTGACGTCCCGCAGGAATCGGTATTGAGGCCATTGTCGTTCGCAATCTATGTAAATGACTTGCCGGGAGAGCTAGGAGTGTCATCACTAGTTTGCTGACGACTTTAAGCGCTGGAATATTGTGCATATCCGGGAGGGTCCTTAGGGCAATTCAACGTGCCTTGGATAAACTCTGGGAATGGTCTACCTTATGGTTGATGCCCATAAATAGGGCAAGGTTCTCTGTTCTTCGAATCGGCTGCTAATCCTCCCACCCGATATGTTGTCGGCGCTGATGAACTTTCTGTCGTCAATCAGCAGTTTAATTTAGGAGTCTTACACTCTTCAGCACTTCAGTCTGGTGACAATTAGAAGAAGGCTACTTGTCGATGTTTTGTATGATATGGTTTATCCGCCGCTCTTTTGGAATCCTAACGGCCAATTTGTTTGTGAAGCTATTTCCGGCATTCGCCCGACCCCACCTGGACTATTGTATCCAGGCTTGTCCACCATGTCTTATCCGAGATATAATGGACTTGGAGAGGGTGTTACGAGGGGGCATTCGGTTACTGCAGGGTATACGGGGACAGACGTACGCTGAACGCTTGCTCAGTTTTGGGATGTACTCAATGCACTACCGAAGGATAAGAGGGGACCTGATTCTCACTTATCGTATTTTGACGGGTAGGATTGGTCCCGACTTGTCAAGGCTATTTAGTCCCGCTACGTTACCTAATCTTCGCGGTCACCCCCTGGAACTATATAAAGCATGGTCTGATAGCATTAGAATGGAAACTCGTCTGTCCCGCCGAGTTATAGATTGCTGGAATTCGCTTCCAGATCACGTGGTTAGGGAACCTACGGTTAAGGGTCTTGCGCGCCAGCTCAATGCTCTTGAGTGGCAACACCAAACCTTTTTCCTGACACCCTCACTTTTCGGTACTTTTTTCTCAAATATCTTGGTATTCTACTTGCTTAGCTCTTTCCACTTTCTCTTTTTGCTTTCTGCGTTTACTATTTTCTCTTTTTTCACGTAACCGGCCCAGCAGTGACTGCTAGGGCAGGATACGTGGGCATTAATTGGTTGGACAGAGTGTGATGCGGTCTTTGTTCTAGGTCCATCAGTAGTTCAAGGTCTGCCAACTCCTGGTTCAACGACCCGCTGAAGAAGGCACACTCACGGGATAATCCTACCGTTCCAGTCCCGCTGGAACTTGAACTTGATTCTCAGATGCTACCATCCTTATACTAGCCCTGGAGCTGCCAACGCCGGTGTCGATGCGGATACTATAAAGATTTTGCGACTGTGCACTAAATTTGTCGAATATTAACGGGGGCAGAAACTCCAAATGCCTAATTGGTTTGAGCCCTCATTTGATGCACAGTCGGAACATTCGATGCGACTTCGTTCTCACTTGTCATATTTTCGCTAAAGTGGTTGACCCGGACTTGTCTTGGCTATTTGGTCCTCCTTGGTTATCTAGTATCTGTGATTATTTTTTGAAGCTGCGCAAGCCTTTCTGTGACTGGGTTGGGGCGGAATCCCGCTTATTACACCGAGTTATTGAACGTTAGAACTCACTTCCAAAAGGCGTTTGTAAATCTAGTTAATAAATAAATAAATAAAGTTTTTTCTCGACCGCGCAAGACGCCTGCACAGGCATGATCATAGTACGAGTTCAAAATGTGATCAGTTAATGTGCAATGGAACAATAAGATTGTCACGTAAGTTGCTTTTTGTATGTATGTATGTGTGCAAGTCGGCATGTGTAGCCGTGTTTATGGGCATTGTAAGTGCTTTCCTGCATTTTTATCGTGTCGCTAGTGCTAGAGGGATGCTTGATGTTCATGGATTTGCAGCAGTTATCCGGATAAGCAAGTGGTGGCTTTAGTTAGTGGCTCGTCACAACTGCCATGTCAGTGTTGTTAAACAGACACTTATAAATAAATAAATAAATATTTTATTCTCGAATTCCTTGAGGCACACCAATTCAGGCATGATCATGACTTTTAGGGAGAAACCAGGCGAAAACCCACCACGTCCTGAAACTGCCGCCGAACTATTTGCTGGAACTAGGTAAACGCGAACCACCCAGCTGACACCACGAGGTTGTTCGGTTTTGAGTATCAACTATACGCTCTTGCTTGTCAACACAAGACTTTCCTTTTTTCTAACCAATTCACATCTTCCTACTTGAATTTTCTATTCCACCATTTCCTTCACATTCGTATTATCTCACATTCTGACGGCCTTCCTCCTTTGATCTTGCTTTTGTTCCACTGGCTTACTCGCGAACGGCTCGACTAGGACTGCTAATGCTGGATAGTTAGGTACTAATTGGTTGGCCAAGGTGTTCGGCCGGTTGCCGAGTGATCTGCACCTGTAGCTGAACTCATAGGGTCACAGGTTCGAATCCGCGTAGGGATGGGCATTCTCGCGGTATAATCAGCGTACGCGCGAATGGTGCTGGTCGCGCGGAAGCGAAACGCCGTTACGACGCGCATCATCATCACTACACACGTTAGCTAGAGGTGGGAAACACCTCAGCTACTGTGCCGCAATACCCAAAAGGAAAAAAGCTGATAA